AAAAAAACAAAAGAACCAATGAAAGATAAACAAATGTGCATATGAGTTTCTCATTTCTTGCCATGGTATCTTACTCTCTCTCTTCCTTTTGCATACTTTTACCATTATTTTAATATAGATATCTCACTTACATATTATAAAGGAGATGCTCTAAGAATGACCAAGTTGCAAAACTCCAAAAAACTTGAGATATATGCAAATTGTGATTTTCAGTCTCATATTGTTCACTAAAACACGGTAGAAGAAACACACACTCTTGGTTAGTTGTCTCCGAACTCCACAATGCAGAACAGTCGGTAGACTTAAAAGAAACAAGTTGTGAATAAGTATCATAACCAACCAACCAATTGTTCTGTGCTATGTTCCCAAAGATTGCATCTTCAGTCGGGCCAACACACGTAATCGCCACAAAATAGTTTCTTCCCATGTCCACATACATACCCTGCCTATCCAACACAAGATCCGCACCACCCAAGAAATGCATTGTTACCACCGGAAATATCCCTATATTATCCGTATCGTAGCAAAGCGTTTCGCCTGGAAAAGCTGTTTGTTTCACTGTTGCAAGAATATCCACGGCAACCTTCACTTGGTTGCAGTAGCGGTCATGCAAGTATGTATTAGCGGTTCCAGAGTCTATGATTATGTTCCCTTCTAAAGAGTGAAACTCTGTCCCCAATCTCTCAATATGCGGTTCTCCCCAACACTGATCGCTGTTGGCATCGGATTTCGTACCGATACGAAATCCTATCTCGTAGAAAGAAATCAAACTCTAGATATGTAACGTGAACTCGGCAACGTGGCCCAACTCGCGGTACGTGGGAGTAAAAAAGATCAGCAAGTTGGTCAGTTGGAGATGGAGAGCCAAATCCTCTACAGGGAGACTCAACCCGAAATCCAGTTCTAGAGATAGCCAAATTTCATTCACATAAGTTAGCCTCGACATTATGGCAGTAAGCCCAACTCGCGAACAAGGAAGGAATGGGTTGATTAGTTCATGGAACTCGAGACCAGATTAGTCTTATCAACGAGATCTTCAACATGGGCCTCAAGTTGACAAGTAAAGATGGGCCTTAACGTGGGGAGGTCCGCGAGTTGGAAAAGTGGAGAGTTAGCTTCAAATTTAATCCTATACGTCAAAGTCAAAGAGAGTTAAGAGAATTGAATGACATAGTTAATATATAACGCGATTCTCGTAGTTGTAATGAGTATATGTACAGAATGAGTCTAGAGAGAGAGAGGACATTCTGAACTCTCTAGCAATATACGCAATAAACTTGTTTCTTTCTAATTTAGCCATTTTACGTTATATTTCCCTGGAGCCAATTAGTTCATCTCGCAACCAGGAAACTCGATAACTGGTTCTTCCTAGATCAATAAATCCCATCCAGTGATCTCGCTCTAATTACTTTCCGTCTTCAATTCTCTATCTTTTGGTGTGACCTTGATCATACCAGATCTAGGACTCACAATCGCCTCTAGGTTTAGGTGATAGAAGTACGGTTTATCGTTCTTTCTAAATATATTTGTTGAAACCGTTCATCTCCTACCACAGGAGCGTTTCCTCCAAAATTGATCTTACTAGTCCCTTTACCAGAAAAACAATAAGAAAACAAACCTAAGAAGTCATCTCCCATCTGAGAGATGAGAGATAAAGCTCCCAAGTTTAGACCAACCATGCCTGAAGATTTCGAGGATACTAGACCTGAGTTGTTGTGGCCACAACCAATGGTGGTTTCAGCCATCACAAAAGGTTGGCCTGAAGAGGAATGGAGCGTGACCGGTTGCTAACGTTCCCTTGGAATAGCTTTTGTCTACGTAGATAATCTCGTAAGGATTTTTCTCTTTGTAAGTTGAAGATTTCGAAGGGTCGAAAATAGTAACTTCTTGGTCGTAACAATGAAGACAAGGCAAACATTGTGTCCGTATAATGTTGCTTCCGGTGTCTATAGTAGCTTCGATTTCGACAGGAGGAGTACCGATTTTTAGTTTCATTAGATAGGTGAAGGAATCATAGACGGTATTGGCGTAAGGAGATGATCCATCAGGGTTGGAAGGTCGAGAAGAAGAGGAATTAGTGCGACGTTGGATTAAGTCGATCGTGAAACCGTGAGGTGATGAGGTTGTGGTGGTAATTAAGAGAAAAGATGTGATGATTTGAAGAGAAAGAGCCACGGTCATTGTGGTTGCACTTGCAAGAGACAAGATCGTATAATTGTTTTGTTTTTGAAACACAATGCTCTCTCTATGTCTTCTTCCTCCATGAACGTATTTTATACGTTTTGGATTTTTTGTCGTAATTGTTAATTGTCCTTATTAGTTAACTTCATACATTTTTGATACTTCCATGATGGTCTTGTAACTTGGGAAAATATACATTTTGTTGCTAATGTTTTTTACGTTTGCCCTCGGGTTTTCCATTTTTTGATTTTGCTTTGCATTAATGGAAATTAGATCACTTTGTTTGTAGTGAAATGTATATTTTCTCAGAACTTACTCCATTTTGGTTGTTATTTAACATTTGGTTTTTAAAACTTTGGTATATACTTCTAAAAACTCAATTTTCTTGAATTTGTTTTTCAGAAGTTTGTGCATAAATACCACGGTTTTAATTTAGCACACTCTCAACAAGATTTGTTTTTCTTTCATTTTTGCCTTTTGTTATGACCAGACATATAAACCAAAGTTTCTACAAGTCCAATTCCCTAACATTTTCAGACTACTCTGCCTTCGCAAAAGAAGAAGAACCATTATCTATTTCACATAGC